ATGGACACTGGGAAGAGGTAACTATGGGGAGGAAGTGGGAGGGGAGCTGTTGCATTGTGGTAAACTGTGGTCAATGACATGAGACAAAGTATATGTAAACTGCTGTATGGAAAGTGAATTTTCCCTGTAATCTTCACCCAAATCACAATTAATAAAAAAAAAAAGTCAAGGAATGGTTTATAAAAAAAAAAAAATGCGGCCATGTAAGGATTTAAATTGTGCATGTGAAATAAATGAAACGATCATGCTGTTGTATTTACTACTATGGAATTCTGAGTACATTTTCTTCTTAGAATAAGGGAAAGAATAATGGATTTTAGAGTTGCAGGTAAGAGTTTAGGCACTGCTACATAGGTGCTAAAAGACCTTGACAGGTCATGTTCCCTAACCCTTTTTTGCCTCAGTGTTCTTATCTCAAAAGTAAGGCTAATAGTGCTATCTCATAGTATTATTGTTGTTTGCCATCGCGTCGGACCCGACTCATAGCGAGCCCTCCTTGGGTTTCCGAGGCAGTATCACTACGGAAGTAGATTGCCCCATCCTCCTTCCGAGGAGTGGCTGGTGGATTTGAATCGCCAGCCTTCTTGTTAGCAGTCAAGTGCTGTAGCCACTATGCTACCAGAGCTCCCATCTCATAGTATTAAGAGGATTAAACTCAGATGATGCATATGAAACTAAAGGGTAAAGAGTAAGAACTCGGCCAGACAGGATGGTTGTATTTATTATTATATTTTTAAAATTTTCAAAATATTGCTACCTTCTATGAAATGAAAAACGGAATGAAAAAATAGCTAAAAGCAAGACAGGAAGATGTTCACAAACTCTTATCTTTGGAGTTAGACTCCATTGTGGGGAAGCTGCAGGGCGGCCTGGTGGCTCAATGGTTCTAGCACGCTGCTTCTAACCAAAAGGTCAGCAGTTTAAACTCACCAACTGCTCTCAGAGAGAAAGATGTGGTAGCTGGCTTCCTTAGAGATTACAGCCTTGGAAAATCTGTGGGGCCGTTATATTCTGTTCTGCAGAGCGATGAGAGTCGTTATCCACGGGAGCTCAGCCTCCAGCGAGTGAAAACCTCTGGCGGCCGCACGGGGGTGCCGGCGCTCAGGCCGGATGTGATGATTCATGCGGTGGCCAGGAGACGACGCTGTCGACGTGGGCGGAGCCTAGACCGGAAGCCAGTTCGGAGGCCTCCGGGCCCGCTTTTCGGCTCCTCCCGCTTCCGTTGCTGCTGTTCCCGTCACAGTTCTCCGGAGTCGCAGTCTACCATCATCAGTTGCCACTATGCCGCTGGAGAATCTGGAGGAAGAGGGTCTTCCCAAGAACCCTGACCTGCGCATCGCACAGCTGCGCTTCCTGCTCAGCTTACCCGAGCACCGTGGGGACGCGGCCGTGCGCGACGAGTTGATGGCGGCTGTCCGCGACAATAGTGAGGCCCGCGCTAGCGCCGAGTCATTGGCCTATAGGCCGGCTCCGCGCTCTGGAGCCTGCGGGGAATTTCACTGACCGGGCTGCAGACCCCGGGGCCCCCGAGACCAGGCCTGACTTCTAAGCCGCTCGGCGTCTTCCCTTTTGTTGAGGGTGCCCGAGGGGACTTCGATATTGCTATATGGGTGGTGGTGGTGGGGGGAGCCGTTTCTCTGTGGTCTTTCCCCTTTGAGGAAAGTGCAGGGGGATATCTTGATATTTAGGCCCTGGTAGGCGTATAGTAGAAGTTCATTGGCTATTGCTGTCCAAGATGTCCCGGGCTGGGGGCATTCCTATTTAGAAGAGTTCGCTTTCCGTGTGAAGGGGCAGTTTGGATCGGTTCCTTAAGCCCTAACCAGCAGTGAATAGCAAAAATGTATGTATATTAGAACGTGTGTGTGTATGTATGTATATATAGGCTTATCCCGTTTAGCCTCGTTCCCTTTTCATTGCCTGAAGACACTCGAACAGAAGCTGTTCAGAGGCAAACCGAGGATTGTCCTCCTCCAGCCTTAGTTGTAGTAGAGGTTGATAGTGCCAGGATTGTTCCTGATGTAAACTTTGCACCAGAAAACATTTAGGAACTGCCTACTCTGTTAAGCCGTGTACTAAGCTCTCTCCCATTCCTTCTTGGTGGTGGGTAGGAGGCTGATGGATGATCTGTGTTTGGGGGGGGAAGAGGCGGGTGGACACTGACTTTAGAGGACAAGTGGCCCCACTCTTGAGTGGTGTCCCTTTTTCTTGCTTTCAGACATGGCTCCTTATTACGAAGCCTTGTGTAAATCCCTTGATTGGCAGATGGACATGGACCTGCTCAATAAAATGAAGAAAGCAAATGAAGACGAGTTGAAACGTTTGGATGAGGAGCTGGAAGATGCAGAAAAGAATCTGGGAGAGAGCGAAATCCGAGATGCAATGATGGCAAAGGCTGAGTACCTCTGCCGCATCGGTGATAAGGTCAGTGGGGATGGTTTCCCTTTTCTGTAGTTAATGTAGACCATACTTGGAGACCATTCTAGAGTAATGAAATCTCACCTTATCTTTGATTAAAAATAAATTTCCTTTTGAAAAATACAAAGGTAACATACTTACCTGACCTAGTGAGTCAATATAAAAGGCATGTATTCTTCCCCATGTCTGTCCATGCCAATAACAGCCTGAGTGCATATGCAGAGATGTTTTCTGTTTTTCCAAAATTGGGATCATCACCATTAGTTCACTTTCCTCAATATATTTTGATTGGGAAGCAGTGGTTCTGGTGCATTTAAAAATTACTATTAGTTTCACAAGTTATGTTCTTTTACAAGAAACAAAACAACATAGTTAATAGTCATTATTCTTTATGCTGTTCACTGTGCTGCACACAAGAAGCTCCAAGTAGCTCCTTTGAGACAGTTCCTTTGTCATTTTGATGTGATCTCTGTAGTATTCCTTATTTTCTGACAAGATGTTGGAGATATAACTGCTATTTTTGCTCTGCAAACCTGGAATTATATATTTTTCCTAGAAGCCCTGGTTCCTTTAGAAATCAAGATCTGAGTGCCAGGTGTGCTTATTGCTGTCTTACCTAGTCACTTTGATAAACTTATGAGACATAAGTAATAGTTACCTAAAATAAAGCCAGACACATACTAAGAAGTACCAAGTATAAACAAATGATTTTCTTCATGCTCTTGTCTTTAACTAAGCAATAAAAGTATTTTATTTGACAGGGCTCTGAGATACAATTGTATATTTAAGTGCTTGATTGTGTTCTAATAGTTGTCAGTAATAGAACACAATCTAGTATTTAAATAGTGGTATAATTTTTATACTTTTCTATATATGAGTGGGTGGAGCTTCTGGTGGCGCAGTGGGTAAGGCTGCTAACCAGAAAGCTAAGCAGCTGCTCCATGGAAGGAAGATGAGGCAATCTCCTTCTGTAAAAGTTTACAGCTTTGGAAACCCAATGAGGGTCGCTATGAGTAGGAATCAACTCCATGGCAGTGGGTTTGGGTTTTTTTTTTTTTCTTTTTCTTTTTTAATGTATGTAAGTAGAAAGTAGTATAATGAACTTCTATGTGTTTATCACCCATCAACATTTAATCACTTCATGGCCTCCTTGTTTAATCTCTGCTCCTGCCCATTCCCTCACCACTTTTTGAAGAGAATTGCAGGCAGCTGTTATGCTTTAGTGCTTAAGTCTTTTTTTCAGCTGTTTCCTTGGTTCTCTTGATAGGAAGGAGCTCTGACGGCCTTTCGCAAGACATATGACAAAACTGTGGCCCTGGGTCACCGACTGGATATTGTCTTCTATCTCCTCAGGATTGGCTTATTTTACATGGATAATGATCTCATCACACGAAACACAGAAAAGGCTAAAAGGTACTTTTTAATGAAGATATGTTCCCTCTAGGTTATGGTGCTTTAAATAAGAGATTCATATAAGAAATTTGCTTGTTTTGTTTATGTATTTAGCAAAATCTTTTTAAGAATATATAAATATTTAGTAAAGTATTTCCTTTTGGTGCAGGTTGTTAAAAGTTGTTGACTCTTTGAAACTAACAAAACTTTTAAAAAGTAGTGCTGTCCATTTCTAAATTACAATCTTAACTGTTTTTGATTTTATAGCTTAATAGAGGAAGGAGGAGATTGGGACAGGAGAAACCGCCTAAAAGTTTATCAAGGTCTTTATTGTGTGGCTATTCGTGATTTCAAACAGGCAGCTGAACTCTTTCTTGACACTGTTTCAACATTTACATCATATGAACTTATGGATTATAAGACCTTTGTGACTTACACAGTCTATGTCAGCATGATTGCCTTAGAAAGACCAGATCTCAGGGAAAAGGTAAAGACTGAACCTTTAATATTCATACTTAAGGTGACCCCATGCAGTTCTACTTTAAATACACGATAGCACAGCATAAAATTTTTTTATCTTTTTAATTTCTAGGTTATTAAAGGGGCAGAGATTCTTGAAGTGTTACACAGCCTTCCAGCAGTTCGGCAGTATCTGTTTTCACTCTATGAATGTCGTTACTCAGTTTTCTTTCAGTCCTTAGGTAAGAATAGAATTGCTTATCTTATAGTGCCTAAGGCATTTGACTGGTAACCAGAAGCCTGGCGGTTCAAACCCACCAGCCACTCCTCGGAAGGAAAGTTGGGTAATCTTGCTTCCGTAGTGATACTGCCTCGGCAACCCAAGGAGGGGTCGCTATGACTTGGGTCTGACTCGATGGCAGTGAGTATAGTCTTTTATCTTAACTCTTGATCAGGTTTGTATATAGATAACCTAAGATGATTTCTCACATATCTGAAAGTTTTTTTTTTTTTTAAGATAGCCGCAGGCCTTTAATTATTATGGTTGAGCTTTTTGGCCTATTTTGTTTAGAGAGCAGTCAGTAAACCAGCTTGTTTTTTTGTATGGTTTTGGAGCTCAGGATTATTTATATTTTTAAATGGTTATCAACTTAAAAAAACAAAGAACACAGATCAATCATCTGTGACATTTGCAAAACCTAAAAATATTTCCTATCTGGCCGTTTGCTAAAGGAGGTGACTTAGGGTCATCATTATATGTATCATTTTCTACTACACTACAATGAGACATGTAAGTCTTACTGGGTTTTGTAATTCGTAGGATTTTTTTTCTTTCAAATATTCATAAACTAATGGGTACTTTTGTAGCGTAGTGCTTAAGGCATCTGTCTGCTAACCAGAGGCTGGTGGTTCAAACCCACCAGCCACTCCTTGGAGGAAAGATTGGACAGTCTACTTCCATAATGATACAGCCTTGGAAACCCAAGGAGGGTTTGCTATGAGTTGGAATTGACTGCATAGCAGTGAGCTTGGTTTGGTTTTGGAATGGGTTTTAAAATATTTTAATTGAAAAAACTTCTCTAGGTAATTAATTGAAATTACTTCTCTAGGTAATGCCTGATTGTTTTTTAAAAATAAAAAATTGAGAAAGTGAAAAGCACTCTCTCACATTTGTGCCCCTTGCCCCCCTCCCCCCCCAGAAAAAGAAGTGCTCACAAAGACTCTCATGCACACAATTATCCCAGAGATAACAATATATAGATTTGAGTATAGATCCGTTCAACCATTTTATTCATTTTATATACAAAAACAAACTCACTGCCATCAAGTTGATTCCAACTCAGAGCGATACGCTTTGGGTTTCTAAGGTGGTAAATCTTTATGGAAGTAAATTGCCCAGTCTTCTTCCATGGAATGGCTATTGGGTTTGAACTTCCAACCTTCTGGTTAGCAATCAGATGCTTAGGTATTGTGCCACTAAAACAGACGCACACAAAACACACTAAGGTTACATGTGCTCATGGAACAGTTTCAAATAGTACAAAGTAAATAATAATAAGAAAAAGTCTTCCTTCTAATTCCTGCTTGCCAGGTGTATGACACCTTTAAACATACGTAGTGGATGCATTTTCATGCTGTTTCCTAAGTAGCCTTTGCTCTTGAAGATACAGTGTAAATATCTTTCTGTATCACTACACAAATAGCTGGTCACTGAGTCAGTATTTTTAAGTGGTTACCGTGTACTAGACACTGAGTATTTAGTGGTAAATTGGACAGGTGGAGTTCCTTGGAGCTTCTTGTTACCCTTTTTGAGGGCTTCCTAGTATTTTAGTATATTGGATGTGCCATGATAAGTTTATTGCTAGTGAAAATGAGCATAATCTGATGTTTAATGGCCATTGATCTCCATGTTGGTAAATTATGTGTTTCCTTACTCTTTCTTACCTACTTTCACATTGACCAACTTTGCTTCTGGCCACAACTTTGTTCTTTTGATTGCACAGTAACACACTGTTTTCTGTGTATCTCCTCATCCTTTGTTAGATCTCTCAGTGACTGCCTCAGGCTGGATCATTGCCTTTGCTCTTCTGTCTTTATTTTCTCATTACACTCATGTGAATGGCATTGATCTGAAAACAACTGATTCATGTCTCTGGTCTCAAACTTGTCAGTAAGCAGCATACCTGCTTAAGTGCCTTCTTGATACCTTCACTTGGGTGTCTAGTAGGTGAATCAATTTGAACACTGCCAGAACACAATTCTTGAATATTGGCTTCTGGTAAAAAGCTCCAAAACAACAACAAAGTTACGCTGCTTCTCCAGGGACGGAAGTCTTCATCTTGTTTGAGCCAAAAACATAGTGTTGATTCTTTTTTCTCATTTCCCTTGCATATCCTTGAAGCTGCTCCAGCTGTGTTCTGAATCTCTCTCTTCTCTATTCCTGTGCTTAGCCATGCTCTTCCTTTATCATTCCATTGTTGCATGCCTCCTGCTGTCTGGTTGGCTAGCTCCTCAGAGAGGTCTTCCCTGTGTACTCCAGCCCATTGAAGGACCTCCTAGCCACTCCACCGTATCGCTTTTATTTTCTTCACAGAACTTGTCATTCTGTGGAATTTTGTCATCTATTTCTGCTACTTCAAAATGTCGTTTCTGTGGCAGCAAGCATCTTTTTGTTTACTGCCATCTCCTCACTATCTATCTAGAGCAGTGATATACAGTAGTTACTCAAATTATTTGTACTTGTGTGAATTGCTTACTAATAGCCTACATACATTTGATCATTGTATTCATCTTAATGATCTGTAAGAGTTCTAGAACAGTGCTATTAACTGTATTAAAATATCTTCTCTGCATTATAATTTATCCTTGAGCTTTGCTTATTTTGTTATTTAGACTATTTAAATTTGTTACAATAGAACTTACTAGTCTTTCCTTTTATTGCTTCCAAGTCTTACTCCTTTTTGAAAATGTGTGATTCGTACTTCTGTTGGTCTGTGTAAGTCTGCCATTTATTACTTTACCTTCTGGTTTCTGTTATTATTATTTTTAAATAAGATGAATTATACTTAAGGGCATATGAAGTTCTTTGTGATTAAAATATTAGTACATAAACTTTGTCATCTGTAAACAAATTCCTTTAGAAGCTGGGCTTTGTTCGACTGGTGATGTCAGATAGCTGAGTGCTGCCTAAGTGGGAAGTTAGCCCACTGGCCTCTCCTTTACAAACCCTGCTGCCGGCTCCTTCACTAAGGGATGACATTAGAAGGCAGGGAGAATTTCTTCACTTGTTTCACTTGCTGTATTGGACTTAACTACAATTGCTTTGTAATCTCTTACCAGAAAGGGAGATTCTTAAAGTTCTTACCTTTTTCATTGTAGCTGTTGTGGAACAAGAAATGAAAAAGGACTGGCTATTTGCTCCTCATTATCGATACTATGTAAGAGAAATGAGAATTCATGCATACAGCCAGTTGTTGGAATCGTATCGGTCACTAACCCTTGGATACATGGCAGAAGCATTTGGTGTTGGTGTGGAATTCATTGATCAGTAAGTCTATGTAATACTGTGTTAATTTAATGTTTTTAACGTTATCTTTTAGATAATGGGTGAACTTTGCATATTTTCTCCATTTTGCATTGCTTCCCTCAATTTTAAGAGGAAAAAAAGGATTTTTCTCTAATATCATCTATCATTTTTGCCTTCCTTACAATCTGCTGCCTTCGTGGACAGGTAGGAAAATTGAGTTGTAGAGAGGTTAAGTGATTTGTTTCAGGTCATTCAACTAGTTGTTCTCCAAAGTAGTCTCTTGCTCCTTCTTTACCGGACCATGTTGCTACTACATTATTGACTCTCAGACTTTATCTTATGTTTAACATTAGATCATATTTCTGCTGATAGTTCCATCCAGTGTTTTGGTTGCTGCTGCAAGTCCAACCAAATTGGTTGTCACTGTGGCACTTTTAGCACTTAAATCACTGATTCAGCAAATACTTACTGAGCTATTAGATTACATGTGACCTTGTTTCAAGTCCCTGTTTTTGTGAACTTTCGTCCTATGATAACGTTTAAGGAAAAAAAAAATTTTAGATAGAAATAACTGTGGAGATAGCTGTGCCATGGAGACACTGCTTTAGATATTGGCATGTCTGAGGAGGTGACATGCTTGGAGAGCTGAAATAAGAGACCACTATATGAAGTTTTCTAGAGACAGAAAGGGCATGACCAATACAAAAGCTTTGAGGTAAGAATAAGCTTGGGTGTTGCAGGCACAGAAGGATGGCCATTATGCTGTAGCTTAGTGAGTGAGGGGAGAAACGGGATTGTTGGAGGATTGGGCAGGGGCATGTTTGTGGAGGGGCCTGTTGGCCGTGGCATGCAGCTTAGGTTAAGTGCAGTGGGACACCACTGGAAGATTTTGAGCATGGGGTGACATAGTTTATGGCTGTGTTTTTATAGAGAGCGAGGGTTTGGGGTGACCAGTTGGACTTCATTAGCTCGTGGAGATGTATGGTGACTTGGTGGGAATAGTTAGGAAGAAGTAGACCTATAAAATAGGTGATGGATGATTGGAGTCATAATCAACTCTATGATAGTGGCTTTAGTTTTTTGTTTTTATGTGGTATCTAGATCAGTGGTTTCCAAACATAGTGGTCCACAATGAGAAAAGAAAATAAAGGAATTTCACATAAAGCTACATTTAAGTAAGACCATCCTCTTTTTAGTGGTTTTGTTTTTTCCAACATTTTATTGTGCAAAATTTCTGACGTGCAGAAATGATCAGCAGAAATGATCATATGGTGACCTCTCCCATATATCCTTTATTCTGTAATTAACATTTAGTTTTATTTGCATTTAGCACATATCTGTCCATCTTATTTTTACAACACACTGCAGAATAAGGTTCAAGCATCAGTATATGTCATTCCTAAACACTCAGCACACACAGCAGTAGTTTTTTTTAACATAAAATTTACATTTAATAAAATGCACAGATCTTAAGTATAATGTATAGTTACCTATCCTTAGCAAAATAGAAGACCGGCAACTCTAGGTTGGTTTTGTTTGGTTTCTTTTCCAAATTATAATTGTTTGTGAAATAAAAGTTCAGTGGGCTTTGCACAAGAGGGATGTAATAAATGTGCTTTTCAGTTAGTAGTCAAGAGTGTTTACTGTGGAAACAGGAGTTGGCCTGGGTTTTGTTTCAGCTCTGCTGTAGCTGTGTGGCCTTTGTCAGGTTCAGTCCCACATCAGTTTCTTAACTATGATGTAGAGATGTTAAAGCCTTTGCTATTTGGGGGAAATGGAAGGACATTTCCATATTTCAGGCAAGTTGGCACACTGCGGGTAATAATTCCTTCATATTCTGAGACCAGCTGTAGAGGCAAAGGATGTAACACTGAGTAACCTAGAAGGACCTTGTTTTAAATTGCTGTGATACTTAGTTTGAATTTCCATGGATTCTTCTTGGGGAAATTGCTTTTCAGTGAAAATGGGGAGATTCAGAAGGTTGGAACAGTAATTCTACACAGTTCCTCCTTGGTAAGTTGGTAAGGTATTAACTGGAGAAAGGGAAGGGGCCATTATTTGTTAAACATTACTGCTGTTGAATCACACCCATATGCTGTGTTCCAGTATTTTATTTGTAGATTTTTAATTTGAAACCTGGTCCCACCCCCACCCCCCAAACAAATCTGTTTTTAGATTCTCAAATCTGTTTTTAGATTCTCTTCAGTAACTACACATCATCATTTTACTGCCTAGCTACTGTGCATGAGGCTAGGGGTTCGGGGTGATGAGTAACCATGATAGATGTTTGATTTCTTGATTTCTTCTGGCTTGTAGCATAATTATGGATTAGTCTTTAAGTGTCCTAGAAATGGACACATGCACAAATGGCTCCTTGGGAGCGTTTAGGTGTTTGGAAGGAATAGCACAACTGAGTGGGAGCATGTTTGAGAAACTGTAGTCTAGTTGAACTAACTGTCTGGTTATCTGGTTGTGGTATGTATGGGGAAGATACTTATGAACTTGGCAAAGTAGGAGGTGGAACAATGTTTTGTTCAGTATGTTATGCCAATTGAGCTTGATGTCCCCTGCGACTACAACTACTCAGTGACCTGAGTCACTGGGTGGCTGTGACCAAGCAGTGACCACAACCTTGTCCCTTGTCAGCTCTACTGTACTCCTGGGAATTGGAATTCTTATAGACCATACAAATACACTTGTAGAAGCATTGTCTGCCAACCCTATACATGGTCTTGGGTACACTCCCCACTGCATAGACATACCTAATAGTTCAACCTGTCCACCCATCTATCCACCCATGTTTGCCTTCACTGACAACGCAGTACTGTATGTGCACAGGGGTTCATCTTTGTTGTTTGTACCTCCTATGTCTTCCTCAGTGCCACCACGTTGGTCATTCAACATTTGGTACATTGCCCCTCTCTTCACAGCAGAGGACATTCTTTAGTATGAGTCTGTGTCTAAGTCCCATTTGGTGCACTTATCTTTTATCTTGTTCTGAGATCGTTCTTAAAAGGTTTTCTTACCCTCTTCTGCATATTTGGGAAGAACTGTGATAAGGGTTAAATCTGGTTGTGTAATTTTCATTGTGTACTTCTCTCCCAGAGTAATAGTTGCAGCTGAGGTCTGGTGGTGCAGCTACTAAGTACCTGGAAAATGAACATAAGTTTAGAAACAGTGTTGATACTTTTTAGACTGTATAAGAAGCTATTCTGTTAGCTGAGAGAAGGAATGGGCATTGTATCAACTAAGTTAATTATATTTAGAGAATATAAGGTGTAGTGTTACTTAAGGCATTTGACTGCTAACCAGAAGGTTGGTGGTTCAAACCCACTAGCCATGCCTCAGAAACCAAGGAGGGGTGGCTGTGAGTTGCATGTGACTTGATGGCAGTGAGTTTGGTTTTATTACCAACACATTAGAATTCTCAGCAGCATGACTTCTTTCTTGCGCACCTATATTTTCCAACATTGTATTTATGTGGTGAATATGTAAGTAACAAAATATCTGCCATTTCAACATCTTTTACACGTACAATTCATTGACATTAATTACATACATCATCTTAGCCAGCTATCACCCTTAACCAAACCTTAGTGTTCCCCAAGCAAACAGTCTTCCTTTTTTCCCCTCCCTTCTGCCCCCAGTAACCACTAAGAAACTTTGGCTTCGCTTCTATACACTTGCCTAGTCTAGATATTTCACATAGGTGACATTATACAGTATTTGTTCTTTTGTGACTTACTTCACTCAACCTAATGCTTTCAATATGCTATGTTGTAGCATGTATCAGGCAATCATTTTTGTAGCATGTATCAGGCAATCATTTCTCTTTATGGCTGAGTAATATTCCATTACTTCATTTTGTTTATCCATTCATCTGTTAATAGACATTTAGGTTATTATAAATATTGCTGCAGTGAACACTAGTATAAAATTATCTGTTGTGTTATTGCTTTCAGTACTTGCAGGTAGGCATAAATCTAAGAGGGGACATCCTGAATCATATGGTAATGCTGTATTTAACTTCTTGAGGAACTGCAAAACTGTTTTCCACAGTGGTTGTGCCATTTTTATAATTCCACTACTAAGGAGTGAGGGCTTTTTTCACCAGCATCTGTATTTGCCATTTTTTAAATCATAACCATCTTAGAATGAATTGGTGGCTCACTGTGGTTTGGATTTGCATTTCCCTGATGGCATTGAGCATCTTTTCATGTGTTTGTTGGCAAGTACTTGTAGGAATTTGTCTTATACTGCTTTTGGTACCATATATATCTAAGAACCTGTTGTTAAAAACTAGTTACTGAATACAATCATGATTTTAGTTCCTGAATTTAGGTTGTTGATCCATTTTGTGTTAGTTTATGGTATTGGCCCAGGTTCATACTTTTGTTTGTTGAAACCCAGTTATCTCCAGCACCATTATTAAAGTGACTCTTCTTTCCACCATTGGATAGATTTAGTATCCATATTTAAAAATCAGTTGACCTTAGATTAACAGATTTATTTCTGGACTCTCAATTCTATACCATTAGTTGCTATGTCACTCATACCAGACTCTCTTCATTACTGTACCTTTATAAACATTACATGAGTCCTACATTGTTTTCTATCTTAACAATATTAAATCTTCTGATCCTTAAGCATGGAATGTCCTTTCATTTACTTAGGTCTTTTTAAAGTAATATTTAAGTAATATTTTATGGTTTTCAATGTACAAGTCTTTTACTACCTTGCTTAGATTTATTTCTAGGTATTTTGTTTTAGAAGCTATTGTAAGTGGAATTTCCTTTTCAGATTGCTCATTGCTGACCTTGTATTCTGCTACTTTGCTGAATTCATTTGTTATGCTCTAGCAGTTCTCTGGAGTCTTCTAGATAGGATCATGTCATCTGTGAAAAAAGGAAAGGTTCACTTTTTATTCCATTTGGACACCATTTCTTTTTGTTGCCTAATTGCTGTCTTTGATGGATAGTTTCACCACTTATTTTATGTCGAACTGATACTTGATTTTGAAGTTTTGTTTATAAGTACATACAAATACTCAAATGTTTTTGTTTGTATCTATGGTGGTTGACAGATTAACACATTTTTGCAAAGCTATAATATGTCAGGGCATATTATTCTGGCTTCTTAATTCCAGAGTTTATTATTTTTTCTTCTTACTCTGAGGCATTCTGAGACCTTCAAAGTTCCCTGTTAAGATCCTTAAAGGTTAACTTATGTCAGCAGGTTTTGTTCCCCTAGTAAATCTTGTTTTCTCTGAGTACTTCAGTAGCTTTGAAGATTTGAAATGCATGGTTTCACTATTTGACTCCTGTGTTCCCTGTGTGAACTTCCAGGGTCAAATCCTGCAGTATACCAGGGATGATCTGTACTCCTACATATTCAATAGCTCAGACTTTCTGAGAATTGCTACAGAACTAACACTCTTTTTTATCCCCCCCAATCTCAGAGAACTCTCCAGATTTATTGCTGCTGGGAGACTACACTGCAAAATAGATAAAGTGAATGAAATTGTTGAAACCAACAGGTACTCTGTATCTTGTGTATTATTTGTTACACAGCTTAGAATAAAAGACATTCTTTAGTGCCTTCTTTTACATCAACTATTGGCATGGAGTAATGTGACTGGTAAATAATACATTCTTTTTTTTTCCTTGAATTTATTTATAGACCTGATAGCAAGAACTGGCAGTACCAAGAAACTATCAAGAAAGGAGATCTACTTCTAAACAGAGTTCAGAAACTTTCCAGAGTAATTAATATGTAAAACCACATAAACTAAGGATTTCTTTGGGATTATTACTTGAAATTTTATAGCTTACGTCATTACTTCATTATGTTCCCTGCTCAACTGTGTTAAATAAAGGTGGCATCATTGTTTCAATTTTATTTTTTTAATGCCTTTAAATGCAGTAATGCTAAAATAATGTCCTTGGAATTATTCTTTAGTGAAAAATAACCAATTACATGTAAAACAAACAGGATAACAAATGCCCATTTTCTTTTAGCTTTAAGCTTCCTGGATTTGAGAAAGAACAAAGTACATGTTGTACTACAGCCCATAATTATACAAAGCATCTCCCATTTGGTACACAAAAGACAAAATAATTGCAATGTATAATAAGCCTTCCTGCAGAAACAACTACGGAAAATAGGGCATTATCATTTCTTTTAGGAGGCTAGCATAACCTAGAGTGTTCCAACACCAGTTGCACAAAACAAATATAAAGCCAGATAAAGGAGAGCACACAAGGGTATTTATTGAAGCCCTCTCTGTTATGGTTACATTTAAATAACAAGTGAGGGGGATTCTTCCGGTAAGATGGCAGAATAGGCAAACAAGCTACACAGACTCTCTTCAACAAAGAAAAGAGAAACCAATTGACAAGATAATCCTGGAGCCCTGTGCTTTGGAAGGAAGGATACAGAAGTGGGTTAAACACCAGCTAGTAGAAGAACCTGAATGAAAACAGTGACTAAGGAGACAAATGGAGCTGCAAAGTGTCAACTATGCTCACAGCACAGATAGTCTGAACATTTCCAAGTGCTGTTAGGACCTGAGAATTCACCTAGAAATTGGTCCTGCTTGCCAAGGGCTCTATGGATGACTGTAGTGGCTGATGACTGACAAAGGAAACAGCAAAGGAGACAAACTGAGCTGTGGACCTCTGGCTGTCCTAAGGGCATGGCCATTTTGGATATTTAAAGCAACAGCATTCTCATTTAGATTCCAGAGACCTAAGAATAGGCTCAGCTTGCCCAGGGTCAACACGGACATACCAGAGGCTAACCACTGGAAAGGTGCACTATTATTGTTACTCTTACACCCACACTCTCTTGGTGAACAGCGGTGCAGCCATCCCTCACCACCCACCTTCTGGGATGGCAGTAATTGCATCCCAGTCTGTCTGCTTGAACAAAGCCTGGGTGGCCTGGCCACCCCCTCATTTGTTCTTACGTTATAATATTTTTTCCCCTTCCCAGGTTCTAGTTTGGATTTTTTTTTTCTCTTCCCTTTTGCTGGTTTCCACTTTTCCCCTCATTATTCTCTTTCCCCTCATTATTCTCTTACTCTCTCAAAAGGAAGGTGGGCAATCAATTTCTATTGTGATATCCCCTCAGAAGCCTGAGGGGAGGGTTCACTTTGAGTTAGATCCAACTGAATGGCAGTGAGTTTTGGTTGTGGTATTTTATTTCTATTTTTTTTGTCCTTTTAAAGTATTTCTTTACATATTTTGGTATTTATTGCCTTTCCTTTTCTTTGTTTTTGTTGATTGTTCCTGTGGGTGTACACAGTGTTTTTGTCTTTGCTTTTTTGATGGTCTTTTTTTATTTTTGTCTGAGTGGCAGCCAGCAACTGTGCCCATAGGACCCAACCACACCCACACCTCCTACAGCCCCACCTGAGTGAGGGTCACCACCTTCTTCTGCACCAGCAGGCCAATGATACAGAACTGCCAGTAGGAGCTTGACTAACCCTTAACTACTCTTTACAGACAGCTCACAGATGTGTGCACTCATTCTCTATCACACCCACCAGTAGATGGGTGTTGAGTGCATAAGTGCTGCCAATTTGAGAACAGAGGAGCTCAGTATGCTGCTTACTCAGATACATCCAAAGCAAAGAAAATGAAAATCTTGGCCAAATCACTCCAACATGCAATCACCAATAAAATGTAATTACAGCAAAGTCACAGTGTCTCAGAGACCACACAAAGCAGCAAGATAAAGCAGGAGAAACAAGGGACCAAGATACTGATCCACATCCAGCAGAAGCAGTACCATTGGAACTTCCTGATAGGAATTCAAAAGAATTAATTTAGGTGTCTTCAGTGGATTGAGAGACAGATCAAGGGAAACACAGACAAAACAAGAACAAAATGACAAAAGGAAAATGAGAAGGGATACAAAATCTACAGATAGAAATCCAGAAGATTTATACTAAATTGTCAGAAATAAGTAACACATTGAAAGGATAAAGGAGTAGAATTGAATGAATGGAAGACAGAATTAGTGAAATTTTAGACTAATACCTGAATACTTCTTTGGAAAGGGATCAATCAGAAAAAAGATCAAAACAAAATGAAGAAAGCCTAAGAACCAATCCAACAACAGCACAATATCCATCATTTTCCAGTGCACATGGAACATTCTCCAGGATACACCATATGTCAGGCCACAAAGCAAACCTTAATTTAAAAACACAAACACTCCAAAGCATTTTCTCAGATAACAATGCTGTAAAATTAGAAATCAATAGGAAGATGAACAGAAAAAGGGCAAACACATGGAAACTGAGTAACACCCTCCCTGAAAATGATTGTGTAATATAAGAAAGAAAAAATGAAAAAAATTCCTTGAATCAAACAAGAATGAAAACACAACATACCAAAATCTGAGACACAGCAAAAGCAGTGATCAGAGGGAAATTTACAGCAATAAATGCACACATCAAAAAAGAAGATAGAGCCAAAATCAATGCCTTAACCCAACATCCCCAACAATTAGAAAAAGAGCAGCAAAAAAAGCCTACAGTCACCAGAAGAAAGGAATAAAGATTTGAGGAAAAATAAAATAGAAAGCCAATAGAAAAATACAACAAGACTGGAAGTTGGTTAATAAAATTGACAAACCACTGGGAAATTTAACCAAGGAAAAGAGGGAAAGAATACAAATAACATGAATAATAAACTGGGCAACATCACAACAGAACCAAATGAAATAAAAAGGATAATATCAGAATACTATTAAGAACTGTACTCCAACGAATTTGAAAATCTGGGAAAAATGGACAGATTTCTAGAAACATACTACTTACCCTAAATTAACACAGACTGACGTGGAAAAGTTGAACAGACCCATAAGAAAAGAAATTGAACAGCTCATAAAAAAGTTACCAACAAAAAAGATCCTGGCTCGGACAGTTTCACTGGAGAATTATACCAAACTTTCAGAGAAGAAATGACACCAATCCAACTCAAACTATTCCAGACCACAGAAAAGGATGGAATCCACCCAAATTCATTTTATGAAACAAGCATAACCTTGATTCCAAAACCAGGCACTAAAAAGGAAAACTACAGACTAATATCCCTAATGAATATAGATGCAAAAATCTTCAACAAAATCCTAGCCAACAGACACCAACAACATATCATAAAAATAATGCAATTTCTGAAGTGGGGTTCATACCAGATATGCAAGGATGGTTCAACATTAGAAAAACAACATCATCCATCACATAAATGAAACAAAAGAACCACATGATCATATTGATCAATGCAAGAAAGGCATTTGATAAAATCCAACGCCCATTCCTCATTAAAAAAAAAAAAAAGCAAAATTGGAATAGAAGGGACATTTCTCAACATAATAAAGGGCATATATGCCAAACCAACAGCCAACATTATTAAATATCTCAGTGGAGAGAGACTGAAACCACTCCCTTTGCTAATGGGAGCCAGACAGGGATGCCCTCTATCACCATGTCCATTCAATACTGTATTGGAAGGGAGCTCTGGTAGTGCAGCGGCTAAGGCACTTGACTGCTAACTAGAAGGCTGGCGGTTCAAACGCACCAGCCACTCCTCGGAAGGAAGGTTGGGCAATCTACTTCTGTAATAATACTGCCTTGGAAGCCCAAGGAGGGGTTGCTGTGAGTTTGGTCTGACTTGACGGCACATAACAACAACAAGAAGCCAGGGCAAAAAAGCAAGAAAGGGAAATCAGAGGCATCCACATTGGTAAGGAAGGAGTCAAACTATCCTTATTTGCTGCTGATATGATTCTATATATAGAAAACCCAAGAGACTTAGCAAAAGAACTACTGGAACTAATTGAGACTTTTAGCATTGTGGTAGGATGCAAGATCAACATCCAAAAATCAGTTGGATTCCTCTACACCAGCAAAGAGATTTGCTGAAAAAGAAATAAATCAATACCATTTACAAGAACTACTAACAAAATAAAAGACTTGGGAATTAATCTTCCCAGGGACACAAAAGACTGGTACAAAGAAAACTACAAACCACTATAATATCCATAATATATATCCATAATATATACTTTAAGGATATGGAAAAACCAATCACTAATTTTATATGTAAGGGAAAGAGACCTTAGATAAGCAAAGCACTATTGCAGAAGAACAACAAAGTAGGTGGTCTCACACTCCTGCATCTCGAAACTTACTATACAGCCACACAGTCAAAACTGCCTGGTATTGGTACAACAACAGACACACAGACCAATGGAATAGAATTGAGAAGCCAGAAATAGATCCATTGACCTAGGGTCAGCTGATCTTTGACAAAGGACCAAAATGTGGAAGAGACGGTCTGTTTAACAAATGGTGCTGGCAAAACTGGAGCTCCATTTGCAGAAAAATGAAACAAGATCTGTACCTCACACCATATACAAAAACTAACTCCAGATGGATCAAAGACAAACGTGAAGCCAAAAACTATAAAGTTCCTCAAGGAGAAAATGGCAAATTTTGGGGTGCTAATTTGTGGCATAAGTAGTAGACTGTCAAGCATAACCCAAGATGTACAAACAGCAAAAGATATATTAGATGAATGGGACCTTCTAAAAATTATATTTTTATGTGGTTCAAAAGACTTCTGCCCAGGCAAGAGAATCTATAGATTGGAAAGAAAGAATCCGCAATGACATATTCGACAAGGGATTTCTCTCTAAAATTTACAGAAAACTCCCACATCCCAATAACAAAAAGACAGACAACCTAATTAAAAAATGGGCACAAGACATGAATAGACACTTCACCAAAAAGGATATTCAGGCAGCCAACAAACATATAAGGTAATTGTGGTAGTTGTGTGTCAACTTGGCTTGGCCTGGTTGAGTGGCTGGGCAGCTGAATGT